TAAACAAGTGAGCCGTGGCCATGCGCAAAGGAGCCCCCCGCACGTTGTGCACGGGAGGCGTGAGCAGGGCCGATATGGCACCGGGGGGAAACCCTCCAAACCCCCACGGTTAAGCCACAGGACCGAACTGTTCCCATCAGCACCACGATAGCTTGAGGGCCGTGGGCGTCAGGTAGCTTGGCACACAGGCTGCACCGCGCGCGCGCTTCAAGTGTGTCGCCGCGCCCGTGCGAGGGTCGACAGGCGGGATGGCTGAGAAACGAGGAGCCCAAGGGTGGGCAATGAAAGACCACCGACTGTTTGTTAAAAAAATACCAGTGCGAGAGCGCAAGAGAATGTCGGGCAATCCCTTGGCTCTCACCCTCCAGTTCATGTGAAAACACACCAAGCTTCCGGCCTCAAGTTTGTCGCGCTTGGGGAGCCTGTGCGCCGCCTGGGCATCCTGCTGGCGACTGGCGACCGTGAGGCCGCGGCTGCCGAGATGTGGCAGCGGCGCATCAAAGCTGTTGCAGCGCAGGTGCAGCACTGGCGGGGCGTGGACCTCACATATGAGGGCCGCGTGCGTGTCGCCAAGCAGGTGCTGGCGGCCACGCTCGTGCACACCGCCACTTACGCCGCGCCGCCTGCTGCCCAGCTGCGATCGCTGCAGCGGCTGATTGATTGCTTTGTGGCTTTTGGGGCTGCCGACGACGGCGACCCCACGCGGCCGCTGCGCGCGCGGCCCGGCAGCGCCGGCGGCGTTGCCTAAGGAGGAGGGCGGTGTTGCGGCGGCGTGCGTTGAGCTGCACGGAATGGCCCTGCGTGCCAAGGTGGCTGCGGCACTACTACGTAGACCCCCAGCGGAGACCCTGGAAAGACCTGGTGGGTGCGGCGCTGGACGCGGCGCTGCCTGGGCTGGGCCGCGCGGCGCTCGTCACGAATCTGAAGCCACAAGGCTGCTATGAGACGCCGCTGTCCCCCCGGCTGGTGGCTTCCTGGCATGCGCTCGCGGCGACACGGCCGCAGCGCCTCCTGCGGCCCGCCGAGATGTCAAGGCAGCAGGTGGGCCTTGAACCCCTGGCCCGCAATGCACGCGTGGCACCGCGGCCGGGGGCTGCGACGCGCGTGGGCTGGGATGCGGCGCTTGCGGCGTGGGGCCCGGCGCGCCGGCTGCGTGATCTGCAGCGGCCGGCTTCCGGCCAGCTTCCTGCAGCGCTCCCCACAGCCTGGGTGGGTCAGCTGTGGCAGCCTGGGCCGCCGTCAAATTTTTTTTATACATGTGAAGTTACACGAGAGACTGACGATACCTGCGCC